TTTAATATCATGTATTTCGAGATTCTATTTTCCTTTTCCTTTTTCTGACTTCGTCCTAACTAGATTCGGTTAGCTCAAACCGTTACTAATGAAGATACGGCATTCTTATTTCAAAAGCTAAAGTTGCAGGCTTGGGCTTAATTGGAAAACATTGCATTTGATTGCTTATTTGTGAACCTAGATACAAATCTATATCTAGAGGTATTGTACCTACTCGTACTAAAACTCACATTTTTTTATACCACGACGGTGGCAAAAAAGCACACGGCCCACCTGATGGTAAGCGGTTACCGTCACATTTTTCAAAGGCTATTTTTTCGATAGGTAGGTAATTTAGACATTATTTTAAGTCCGTTCAAGAGAATGTTACCTACATAATATAACATCACGCCTGTTTCTTATTTATGTTATGAGTCCTATGTAAAAGGGGGAGCCTATTGCCATTTGGTACGATACCAGACTCCGTACTACTACTGAGATTTTTTTTAAAACCCAGTAATAAGTACCTTGCCCGACCCAGGAATCGAACCCGAGACCCCTTGCCAGGCAGTCGCACTTGCGAACACTCGTCCAACGAGGCAGTCATAAAGTACTTACTATGAATATTTTACAGAACAATAAATTCTACGAACAAATATACCTCTCCCGAACACGTCGTTTATCGGCGAGGGTTTTTGTGTCCGGTCCCGTGACGTCACAATTTTTATTCTGTTCGGTCATTTAGATAGTGCCACAGCGAATTGTTTGATGCCTTTTATTTTTATAGGTACCCATCGTTGGTATTTTCATTTGGCTATTTACTAATATTACGTAATGCGAAGACCAGCAGACTACCTGTTATATATTTTATTCATTAGTAACAAGTATAGTACAATTGGGTACTCGCCAACTAGTCAAATTCAATACTTTTTTCGAACTGTCAAAAACGACAATTTTCTATGAATTTTGTACGAGATTGTGTATTGTGACGTCACGTTTATTTAGCGTCAAACAGCATACTTATTTCTAAAAAAAGGTGGAAAAATACTAAAATTAAATTAGTTATGAAATCAATTATTAAAAGTGTGATTATTTTTTAATGTTTTATTGTATTGAACAGTCGGAATAATTTATTAGGTAACTATGTAGGTAACTAGAGAATTGCATTGTAAGCCCAATAGAGAAAGAGTAACTTCTGGAGTTTCTTGCTCGTTCTTCTCCATAGGAATCTACACTTTGGAGTAAGCAACTAGCTTCACTTCTATTGTTGTTGACGTTCAAAAGTGCCTTCCTAGTCTAATTAAAATAAATGATTTTAACTTTGATTTTGACTTTACCCAATTGTTGACTTGGAAATAAAAAAAAAATGATTTAATGTATATATATTACAATTAAATTAAGAACGTCGTACCTGTCAATATTAGGAACATGTTATCTCTCTACTACACACTCACACAACAAAACACAAACGCCACACGAAGCAAAACACACACTACACATTGTTTGTGAACACAAATTTTAATTAAGTACATACTTTGGTAGGCATTGCCGCTGAAATATCTATGTAGAGGTGTTACATAAGTACCTAGTAAATTGTAACAGTATTTTATCGTAATTAGTTACCACCAGAGAGCGCTGTGTACCGTGTGCGAACTGTGAACATCTGTCTCTTCCTGCTCGAGTTTGGTGGATGACATTCATTTATGGAATATATTTTTACTAGATGTTGCCCGCGATATCGTCCGCGTAGAATATGAACTTTAGCACATAACTTTTTGTCTTGTTTCTGAAATAAATGTAGCCTATGTTACTCCGTAGTACATCAGCTAACTGCCAATAAAAGTCCTGTCAAAATCGGTCAAGCCATTCCAGAAATTAGCTAGTATAAACAGACAAATTGTAAAACATGTTATTTTGATATGTGTATCGTATGTATATTCATATGCATGTGGTTATTTTGATATTACAAAGAGACACTCCGATTTTATTTATCTGTATAGATTTGTTTAATGTTAGTTTATGATGGTTGACGTGGGTTCTTTTAGCTAAGTACAGAAAAATAAAGTAAGGTCTGTTTAACTCGTCGAGTACCGGTTTTGTAGACACAATTATAGAACAATAGGTTGCGGTCACCGGTGACCGCTTGGTGTTTGACAGTTTAAATAGCCGTTGTCTACTGTGCATTTGTAGCGTACCAAATGTTTCGTTTATTTGTAGGCATGCAAAATACTTTCAGTAGTATTACAGAAAGTATTTAAGGCACATGCCTTGGAGTGCCCTTTAATATTTGTTTATGATATTTCTGGTTCGTCGGTTGAGCTTTTACTTAGAAATCATCGAAAATAAATGTAATTTTCTTACTTTCTACAACAAAAATAACCTTTGAGAAAGTTGTAGCTATAAATAAATATACTCTACTGAAGTATCCACCTTCTTGGTATATTTCCATCTAAACTTTTATCATTATCTTTGAACAAGAAACTTTCAAACTTAACGATATCATTATTCCAAACGCGATTCATAGAAACCATAGATTCATAGACAAGGTATGGAGGCGTTATACCAAAATACTTGGTAGGTATGAAAATATCTTTGACGCCTAAGTAATGGTATTCCGCCCTGTGGGCCCAAGGTAATCAACCGAGGTGGTTACCCCGCGTATGCCGTCTCAAATTTAAATGTATTAATATTTTTGGGCTCACATCAAAAAGAGATTGAAGTGGATCACGATTTGAATAATTTTACATAGACCTGCCGGGTTACCATGCAAATAGGAGATTGACTTTATACTCACCAAACAATGTACTTATCCCTAGATATAACCGTAGAACGAAATACTATTTTAGACGCATTCGATTCAATCTGCGTTTACCCCACTGTTCTTTGTACCATGTTCTCACAAACTCATACATAAGACGTATGTACGTTTCGTATTTCTCTCTTCGAATTCGTATCTAGCGTCGGGAATATTTGAAACTTGGAATACCGAAATTAAAGCCGATGTTTGCCTATTAGATAGTAGTGCACTCCCGACTAGCAGATGCGGTAGTCGGAACGCTAGCAGTGAAGTATTGAAGCAAATATTCAACACGTTTCCGCAAACGTCTTTACATTTTTAATACGTGCAACGTTTCCAACGAATAGGTACGGTAACATTTGTCGACAGATAAAATCTAGCGGACCGTACTAGCTTCCAGATTTTCTCCTTTGTATGTCGTAAACAGATTCCTGCCTTTAAATTTTATGTCGACACCTTACTTTGTATGTGATCTGATACGGATTCTTCTGTCGGTAATGGCGTAAATTGCTCCCATACAGTTTTAAAGATTCAAATTTCTATGATTCTACACAACGAATTGTGGTTTTAGGAATACGTAGCACAACAATAGCTCGTGGCCAATCACCAATTAGCGAACCTAAACAGCCGACGGGCTCGTTAACTTGTTGCTATGTTTGATATGGATTGTGTAAGGTCGGACACTAAATATCGATTGTGACGATGTTACATACATGCATAGCATGTAGGTTCCTGACATTTTAAGCTTATAGATTGCAATCTCAAATAGCGAATACACAAACACGTGTAATAATAAATGTTGCGAGGAATTATCTACGAGTCTCGTAGTAATTGCTATACGGCTTAGCTTGGTTAATTAACTTTATAAATTTACGAACAGCGCACTGTGGGATCATCCAAAATTTTGTTTTCAAGCAAAATCAGCAGTTCTATGTAGCCTCCTAACTGAGGCGGGTACATAAAACCAATTTAAATCTCATAGGTACTTGCTAACCGTAGTAAGCAAAAAATTAACTTTTTTAAATTTAGCGACTCCCAACTTTTCGTAAGTAGGTATCACAGATTATGAAATAGTTACCTACTTAGCAAACTACCTATTATGCTAAAAACATAGAATAAGTTTCCTTTCTCGAGACGAAAATTAAGTTAATACTTTACACAGCTGCGCAAATCTAAGACAGGTGTATCATAATCCTCCGAAGAATAATCTCGGTGTAAAACTTAAGCCGTGACGTTGCGTACTTAATAAAAATTTTACAAGGTACGGGCAGACTATATCGCTCACTTCCACTCAACAAGATTTGCGGAATTTCTGCAAATCCAGAGGCACGTAGACGAAATATACTTTGAATTAAGGTCAGACGAAACGAAAGATAAAGGATAAAGTTAGGTAAAATTACTGGGACATATCGTCTAATGTGATTGCTCGATTTACTACAACCCTTATTAGGTCGGTACATGCAATAATTATTTGCAATCCAAGGGTTTGGTTAAGGGATTAGGTTGCATACACGTCAATAAAGTACCTTTACTATTATAGCATGTCAGTAAAGTATAGCTAGTTACTTAGGTACCTTCCTTAATTCTCTACATCTCAGTTTCCTAAACTCTCACCGGATGCGCTTCGCTTCAATTTACATACCTCTATAATTCAGGTCTAGAAGTTACAGGAAGGCCAATTTTCTGTCGCGGAGCGGAACAAGTTTGCTGGGAAATATTCAGAGCTAAAACTTTTCTTTGTTAAATGTGACTGAAGATTTTGAATCTTAGAAGTCGGTTATTAAACTGTGTCAAAGTTCAGATGGACTAAATGTATAATAGTTTAATATTTCTGAAAAACTTTTAAGTGCTCCTAAGCTTTAACTGTTTGTAAACTTATTTATCTACTGGTTTAAAATGTTTAGATTTCTTGATGTAGGTAAAGATTACGAAGTTTTGTCACTCAAGTAGTCTATATTTACTGCTATATACACAGCGTGCTACATTTTACAGCACATTGTGACGTAACGACCGAAATGACGACGAAAATAAAAAAATGGTGTCTAATATTTTTTCATTCTAATGGTTCAAATCTCTGAACCTGCAGAAACAATTTGTTATGCATCTTATTTTAACTTTTTGATTGGCATTGAGATTTGAGCTTAATAAATTAAATCAAAAGTTAAAAAATAAAAAATCTATAGGAGCAATTTGACAGTGTGCTGATGATAGTGGTTGTTGGCAGGCGCTTGCGCAGGCGGGGCCCCGGGGGGCGGTGAGTGTGGCGCGGGCGCATGGCGCTGCTGTACCGCGCGACGCGGCTCAAGGACCGCGCCGACACCCACGTGTTCACCTTCGTGGTGACACGCTCGGCCACGCGCGAGCCCGACCGCGATGTCACCTCCAAAGACTTCTGCTGCGCGCACCAGCGCTGGGCGGTCGCTTTCAGTCGCACCGATGCATCACTCGGTTAGTGAATATCTCCTGAAAATGTACATTGTCATAACGTTATCTTTTGAAAGTCCAATTTTGCGTCTGTTGTTGCAGGTGTGTACTTGGTGTGGCGTGGCGCGTGCGAAGGAATGCGGGTGTATGTCGATTTTACATTCACGCTCCTCAGCCGCGATCATTTTACGGCCAATGAAGGGTTTTCCGGCAAACAGGTGCGTTTCAGCGCAGGCTGCGCTGCGCAGGGCCGAGGTCGCTGTGTGTCCATCGCCGAACTTAACACCAAGTTCGCTGATGCGAGGGGTGAGTTCCAGCTGGAACTCAGTATGTCACGGGTGCGCACGCTATACTCTTGTGAACTACGCGCACCCCGCCTTGATACACCACCCATAGCTTTCGCCGGATTTGACTGGCAGGTGTCGGCAACTGGCGGCGGTGGCAAGGAACCGCTGACATTACGGTTAATGAGATTATCAGGGGAAGGACAACGCTGTCGCGTAAGATATGCACTTGCACTTGGTGAAGGCGAAAGAAGACTACATTCAGGCCCGTTGGAGTGTGTTTGTGACGCTGACGGACGAACGCCACCCTGGAACCCTCGACCACCATCCCGACTTCTAACAAAAGGGGTTCGGTTAACTGTAGAACTAGTATGGGCGCGTGCACTGGCCGAACTGGCGGTGCCGGCAGCAGGCCGCGCGGCTACATGCTACGACCGCGACAAGCAGGCGTGGGCGGTGCGCTGTGACATGCATTCTGAGATGGTGAGACTGCATATGTTGTATCGGGACGTGCACCACGTGCCACGCAACCACTTGCGTTATGTGAGCTGGTCTGCCTGGCTTGTGAGATCAGGTGTCGCAGCTGGTGAACCTGATGCCGAAGAACTACCTGGAGCACCCTTCGAGCATTACTATGCACAAGACAGTGCTGATGAAGGGCTCATGATGGAAACAGCATTACGCGTAGAGGACATGTCACGACCTGGGAGCGCATTCTTACACCCAGGTGGTGAACTACGTGTACGTCTCGAATGGGGCGATACTTACCTACTCTTTCAAGCTACTTATCATGTCTATGATGACCTTTGTCGGCTGCACGCGCATCAAATGAGGTGTGTATCATAGTATAGTGTATCGGCAAATAAGTTACTTTAACGTTATTTTCATTTAATTGGATTTTATTCTGCAGGCGCGAGATTGCTGTTCTTCAAGCGGAGAACTATTCGTTGGAGCGACAGCTGTTCAGCTATCAAAAAAGCCTGGCCTACGCACAGGCGCAGGCAGGTGAACCGGCAGTGGCGGAGACGAGTGGAAGGCGTTCCCCCGCGGAGCGCTCGCTCTCTACCGACACGGAGTACGCGTGAGAAGGGCCTGAGGACTTCTCTTTGTCGTCGCCTATGACGTCGCCCGTTCTCTACTCTTCTATCTTTTCGACTGATTCTGACGTTTTTGAGCGATTTATCTATTTTTCTAGACGTTTTATGGCGAGGTGCGCCCTCGTCCGCACCGCTTTCCGCCGGTCGCCTGCACTCTCGCCGCTCGATTCTATCGATAGCCGATAATTATACTCGACTACTTTTCTATTTGTCTGTACATAAATATATTTAGAAGATATTATATATTATGTATATTTCTTAACTTGAAACTCGAATTCATATACTGCAACAGTCGATTTATGAATAAAAAAAGTCCGTATAATAAATACCAATTTTGTCTCTTTATTTGTATCTTTTCTTGATATCCCTTATAAATAATAACTATCTGTGTAGATTTCCCTTATAAAACAAATATTATTTATCTACAACATCCTTGTAGTTCCTTGTAGTTCATAGATTATCTTTACAAAAATAAAATCTGTAAAGAAAGTAAAGGACAACCTGTATGGTAAACTGAAACATGCTTAAAATTACAATATACAAGACACGAAACGCCGCACAGTTGTCAACTGTCAATGTCAAGTGTCAACGTCATACTTGACAGACTCAACTAAAGGCAGAAGCAGAACCACGTTGTTGTGTTTGTTTTGGAATCGTCTAGTATTACAAAGTAAAACGTAAATATGGCTCAAGGAAAACTGAAAGTAAAAAGCAAATTACCAGCTGGAGCGAAGGCAAAGAAAAACAAGAATAAGGCAGGTAAAGCGGTGACTAAACGTCCAAACGCGCCGGTAAAGAGTAAAACTGCCGCTGAACGGAATAAGATGAAGACAAATGTGTCGAAGATGGTGAATGCTGCAGCTGAACAGCAGTTGAGAGCTCTAGCCACGAATACTCCACAGTTGTCTGCAGCACAGCAACGAGTAGCAGCGGCTCCCACAGCGCCTGCCCCAGCAAAATAACCTTACTTCTGAACAACGTTCTTCGTGTAAATTATTGTGCGTAATTGTGATCATACTACTTTATTATAACTAAGACAGTAAAATAGATATATCAAATTCATTGATAAGGAATAATAGACAGATTTTAAAGGAAAAACAAAACCACTTATTGGAAAAAAACTGATGTTACAACGGGTTAGCCCAGATTGTGTAATTTTTTTTTAAGGTAGAATGATCTAGGTAGGTATGCATTCAGCCTATTACATTCTGTTATATTCAAATGTCATTAACTTATCATTAAAATATTTCTATACAATGTGTACAACATTTGCGATTAAATTAAAATATATTCAGTAACAACTATGTAAGCAAATGACCAAAAATCTTATTCTACAACTACTGTATGTTAATGGAGTTTATTCTGCACTTACTTCAATGTATCTTTACAAATATTTTGTAATATAAACTTGTGAAATATTAGAATTATAAGTGAAGTTTAATCTTTAAATTAAAACTATTTTTGTTTTACTCATTGTTTTATTTGACCGTTAAATAAATTAATATTAAATAATTATTTAGTTATTTATGTTAGGTACAAAATAGATAAATAAAATAAATTGCTAATTATCCCTCAAGGGATTATAGAGGTATTGTGTGATAGGAATACACATATTATGTCAGTTATGTTGTCAAAATTAAATTAACTTTGATATGGAAATCAAAGATCTGATTCAATATTTACGAAGAGATGTTAAATCAATGACTGCTATTGACCCGCAAATTTAACATACTTTTTATATTGCTCACAACAGTGGCTCATCAAAGCCAGTTGATCTTTATTTCATTTTGAGATACACATTACACTCAGACAAATATAGAAAGCATTATATTGTTTAAATATTTCATTTACATTAATAAATTAACACCTTGACCATATATGGAATAGGCTTTATCTTTAAAAATGACTTAATAGTTGTAGGCTGTAGGCTATAACATTCCGTTGAAATGAAAATAATAATATTCTTAACTAGCTTCGTATTTTATTACACCGGTTTTATATGTTTTATGGCTTATGTTAATTCAATATTGAAAATGCATTATTATTTCTTTATTAACAGTATTGTAGGCAGTTAAAGTTTATATGGTTGCCTTAACTGATCAGGTGGTAATGCCAGTTAATTAAAAATTGCAATGGAAGATAAGTAGACTTGATATTTTAATGGGTAAGTATGTTCATATATATCAAGTGGTTCCCAGTCTAGACTTAGCTGATAATAAGCGGCCGATAATCCGCTTTCTGTCTAGGACTAGTACTTTCTGCTGTAGACAGGTATGTTGTTTGTCGCCAATAATGGAAGTTTTATCAAAGATGTAAAAATTAATCAAATGAAAGTTTTATATAAAATATATTATATGGAAAAGTCGATTCCATTTTCAAAGTAAAATTTCAAGTATATACTTGACATTTTATTTAGAAAACAAAATCCTATTCCCCAAACTTGTCGCGGAGAACCCAACGGGTTACCGGGGCTCCAGCTCGATGTGCAGGAGAAGGAACGGGGTGGTTTTTAGTCAGTAAGAGTCTGACACTCCCTCCCGCCTCACCCAGGCGGGAGCAGTCATTCGATGATTTTCCGCCCATAAAAAAAATCCCCAAACTTGCAAACACGCGGCCAATAATGTTATCTATATAATATTATGTATTCTTATTGTTTTTTACAGGTTCTCATTTATTATACTAGTGCTTTCGATATCAGATTTATAGCCACAAATAGATAAGAAATAGATAGTAATTTAAGAATCGAAATATTTATATCGAGACATAATTTATTTATGATGCATAAATATTTAAATTAATCGTGTGTAGACAGTGTGTTAAATACCTACCAGACGACAGACGAATAAAATTAAGTACTTACCTACGTATATTAATAGAAATAACAACATATAAATATGAGGTCGTAGAATTGATATCTGATATAGTCGAAACACTCAAAAGAATAGATAAGTTGCTCTGTGGCTGAACACTGGTCTCCTGATTAAGGTAGGCGTCGGTGAGATTTTTAAAACATTACATTTATGGCCAAGAACTAAAAAAAATAAATAAATTCTTGTTCAGGAGTACCTACGTAAACCTTGATTGTATCACAATTTTTCTTAATGTGTGTCGTTTGAAAATAAAATGGGGCACTGAAAACACTGAAATATTGAAGCGAAGTAAACACCTGCAAGGTATTTGCGAGACCTGTTATTCAATTTCTATAACAAAAATCCTCAATACGTAGGTTTTTTAATGGGGGAAAATCATCGAAAGTCTGCACCCGCCTGGGTGAGGCGGTAGGGAGTGTCAGACTCTTACTGACTAAAAACCACCCCGTTCCTTCTCCTGTACCTACTTCGAGCCGGAGCCCCGGTTACCCGTTAGGTTCTCCGCGACAATACGTAGGTATAAATCCACTTTCAAATCCGTGTATTAAATTATAGGTAATGTCTAAAAATATAAATAGTGATATTTAGGTAATATAACCGCCAGTTTTACTAGCTATCTAACATTTTTACAACAGAAATAATTTGTTCTACAGTCTTAAGTGCGAGCGTCTGCGAAATGCAGATTTTCTAGATTATCTAGATAATTCATGTCTAGACGAGAGAAAAATGTCACTCTGAGCTATGAATGAACAGTTGACCTGTAACAAAATAAGATTTTAAACTAGTATTTTTTTAAATCGTCTTCAGTGTCGTGGTTGAATTTATAAATATATTTTTTTTACATAGGTACATATTTTTATTTTATTCCTAATTTTTTTTAGGGTTTTCATCAGGTGCATGTTTGTGCATCACATGATTTTATTATTTCTTATGGGAATCGAACTGGTGTTTAGCCATTTTTCCAATCATAGCTAGGATATACCGTCACGTAAGTAGTCCACTCAATGGTCTGGATAATTTTTACTACAGTTAGGTAAGTGTAACAATAAAAATAAAATAACAAAATACAAATATTAATGTACCTAACTGAAGTTAGAAACTAGATGAATTGGAATATATTCCAGCGATGAGAAGTGGAGACAAGATGTCCAATTAGATCCTCGGTTTAGGCAGGGACTGAATACAGAATGCCTGTAAGTAATTGATTGACTACAAATGATTTAGTGAGATGGTGAGTGGAGATGACAGAAGCTGTGCAGCATTTATACATTGGAAGTTACCCCAAAAGATAAATAAGTAGGTACTTATAATGCCTATACTTACTATAAACTTATTCCGTCTGTAGCGTCCTTAATTAATATAAGTAGGTTCCTAATTTAAAATACCTAGTTCATTGTTTTTTCAGATAGAAGAGATGATGCACCAATTGCGTCGGTATTTAAAATATGAAATAAAAAAATAGTTTAAAGGTTTTTAAAGGACGAGTCATTTCAGTTTGTTAACTGCTCTTTTGTTCAAATAGAAATGTTTTTTGATTACAATGATAATTAATATTTTTTTTATTTTTTTTACTGCACTGAAAGCGTGATACTATCTTATCTAGTCAGTCAGGCTGGCAACGCGCATGCGACCTTTCCTGTATTGCACACGCTTACTTGGGCTACGGTAACTGCGTTTCATTCGCCTACATAAAAGCTAGTGATACAAATAAGTCATGTTAGGCCAATGCACTTAAGTATCAATCATGGCATTTGATACAAAGATATTGTATTGAAACTCAATTAGATGTTTTAGCACGATTTTAAACGAGCACTAAGTAACAGTGTCGGACATCAATTTATTCAACCAAAAGGTAGCACAATCCCGAATTGCAGACACAAGTTTTTGTTTCAAGTAAGTCATTATACATTAATAATCACTGGCCATATAAATAAATAAAACATTAACGTTATCTTGACAAACGAATTCGAAGAAACACGACTTTAGTTGGGCGCGTTCAAAAGTTGGTTTGGTGTAAAAATAAGTGGTGTATATAAGAGCAGAAATCGATTATATATAGGTGCCTATAAATAAATACATATGTATCAATTCAAGGCGATGTCGCACGGTGAGTGAACGGGCGTACCGGACACTAGGGTGCCCATGCATTACGAGAAACTGTTTCTGGAATGAAGAAATCAGACTTGAGTTTTGAAATAATGATTTATTTGTCATGATTGGTTATGTGATGGTTTCATTATATTGTGAATTTTATAAAAGTTTATATGGGACAAAAAGTTCGTTCTCGTTAGATAAAATAAATTATCGACAGAATGATATCATATCTATCGGTCGAGCGATTCGTTAAATGCGTTTCTACAAGACTAGACCGACATCACACGTGCTTGTCCAGTAAAAAGTTGTTGACCTTTGAGTCTAAATACCTATCAAATTAGGCACGTATACCACGAGACACTAAAGATTCGGCGCGGTACGTTTCTGGAAATAAAGCGGATTTTGGATAAATCATCAAATCAAAGACAATTTTGGTCTAATCTCCTGCCAATATCCTTCTGAACTTTTGGTATCCTTGTGGTGAGGTTGCGGGGAAGGGGAGTCGTTGTGATGCGTCGATTTCTCCGAATAAGATTAATAAATGCAGGCGGGGGTTAGCGGGGTGCGGGGCGGAGGGGGAGGGGGGGAGACACATCGCGGCTAATGACACGCGCCGCTGCAGATATTTTTTTATCGCGAATTTAAAACATAAACTGGTTGCGGTAGCTGTGTGGAGGAGGATCGCAGAAGGTTCGCTCCGAACAACTTCTCCTAACAAACAAAAAATAGTTGTACATACAGTTAAAAATCCTCATTGTGCAGTAACATCTAGAGAGTCTTGAATTCTGCAAAAATATGGGTCTTTAATTTATTTATTTTTTATATTCATAGCATTTTAATTTTAATACGAAAGCTTTTCTGAATGAAAATTAGTCGAAAGAAAAACATTAACATTAGGTGTTAAATATAGACCATAATGCATAGATCCGTAATAACCCGACAACTATGTCATATAATCCTATTAAATTAATAATACAATTATAAACTACGTTTCAAAACCGATTTCAACCTCTACTGTTTTTGAAGTCGGTAAAATAATATACTTCAATCTTTTCCTAAGTCTAACAAACACTATTCTGCAAACTGCACCAAAATCGGTATGTTCAGCCAATTACGAGATAATCGCACACAAACATACATACATACATACGTACAGGTCAAAATGAGAACTTCTTTTTTTAATTCGGTTTAATGACATTCATCACGGATCAGGTTTAGTAGCGTTGTGGTACTTCTATCTTTGCACTTTATCGGTAGCGGTCTGCGCCGCAGCCTCCGCCCGCGCCCTACGCCCTGCAGCCTGCAACTCTGCATAGTTCACCGCTCTGCGCGCGCGCATCGATACTCAACACTGCACTAATCACGAGTTAACACCTATTGTTAGAGCCTTAGTTCACTCTCTGTATTTATATCGTTATTGACTTGTATATTTCTAAGTTCTCTCTACATCCTACACTCTCATACGCTACCTGTAATAGCCGCCATCATGACGCTACCCAAATACC